AAAAAATAAAAATTAAAAAAAAATGAGAAAATTTCTTGATCGCGAGATTACTCATTATTGTTATTGATAAATATATTTTTATTAACATAATAAAAATAGTTTAATTAATAGAAATGAATAAGACAAATTAAAACCTAATATCAATTTAAAGTAATATAAAACCAATACAAAACTATCTAACAATTATTAGTTTTGTAATTAATTTTTATTATTCAAAACCAACTTAAATTTCACTAATAAATGAAAATTTAATAAAGTTAATTAAATTGAATAATGATTCATAAAAAAAAAATAATAAAAAATTATTAATTTTAAACATAATTTAATTAATTTAAAATCAATTTAAGTTCTATTTACAAATAGGGGAAATTATAAATACCTCCTTGTGTTACAATCCTATGAAACTTCCCTATTTTTGACCTTAACAAAAACTTCTATTTTTTTGAAAACAAAATGTGTAAATACCTCCCTCTTGTTTCGAACAAAATTGTAAATACTTCCTATAAAAGAGATTTGCTTCCTTTTACTTTATTTCAGCCATTTGCCTTACTTCATCTAAGAAAAGAAGAGAGAATTACTCTTCGAAAGTCGTTCAACAAAATATATTAGTGAGGATAAAGTTGAAACTTTGAAATGTGTATTATAATGCCTTAATAATGATAAGACTTTTTTGGTAACTTTTGTTATTAAAAATCCAAGGAAAATGAGGTATTTGCATTTTTTCAAAACTATAAGGGAGGCATTTAATTTGTTAAGGTCAAAGCACAAATGTGGTTTATAGAAATGCTGTACGATGATTTTTTTTAAAGATTTTGCTTAAAAATAATACAAAAATAGAAACACATCAATAAGAATTAATATTTATACTATCTATCTATACTATATTATATAGCCATATAGGCCACGTCACAAGCCCTATTCTTGCTCCATCTCTCCAATCTTGGCTTCTCCTTAACTCTCTCTCTTTCCTCACTTACCCTTCCCAACCCTTCCATGTAGCCATGTGGCAGCCCTCTCCTCTTCATTAGAGTCCCAGTCAAACTCCCTTTCTCTCATGCTCTTAATCACTCACCCAACCCCTCCTAAAAATTTCTCCTAAGCTATCTCTCCCACCTAAAATTCCTCCTAAAACATCACTTAATCTATTTTATATGCCCAATGTAGCCAAGTGACACCATTATCCCCTATTTTCTACTAAATTATTTCTTATCTCTATATTATGTCTAATATAGGAAAGAGTTTCTCCCCTAAATTATCTCTAATTCTTGTTTATCCTCTCCCCCACTTTTCATTTATATCTATCTAAAAAAGTTTGAATTAAAAAATTTAATAATTATTTAAATATTATAATAAAATTATGTAATAACCAYAAATATTTATTAAAAACAAAACATATATAATATATTTAATAATGTTCAAATTATTAATAATTTTATATTTTTTTATGAAATTCAAATTTAAATTATGTAATAACAATATAAATTATTTAAATTATAAAAATTAATTTTTTAAAATATTATTTAAATATTCCAATAAATATATAACAAAATATTTAATATTATGTAATAACTAAATAATATTTAAAAAAAAATCAATAACAAGATTATTTAAAATTATTTTTAAATATTGAAACTTTAAAAGTTTAAAATATTTTTAAAATAGTTCAATAACTAAAGATGCAAAATAAAATATTAAAAACAACTAAATAGATATATAACCAAATATTTAATATTGTATAATAACTTTCAAATAAATACAATTTAAATAAGGAAATTTTTTAAATATTTTGTTGTATTTATTTTGTAATTATTGTATTTTTATTATAAATTTATTTTCAATAATTGTGTATTTTTGTTATAAATTATCAATAATTATTAGAGATTAAATTGTTGTTATTTATTGGATATTTTAACTATTAATTTAGCTGAAATTATGAGTGTTTAGGGGTTATTTTATGTACTTCTTATAATATATATATATGCTATATAAAAAAAATAAGTTTGAATCTCTCTCCCCTTAATAGTCAATAATGTTTGTGACATCTCCCCTCCCCATTGAATCCCTCTTTTACTCTTAATTTTTTCTGAATACCTTTTGGCTCTCTATTATAAACTAGATGTGCAAATTATACGGATTGGGTTAGGTTAAGGACCAACCTAAATATGAACCCTATCTTAGACCCAAACTAATGGGAAAACCCAAATTTTCCCACCCATTAACATAGGGTTAACCAATTTTCTTACTAAATAAAAGTCTAAAGAAATCATTGGTCCTTTCTATGGGTTATTAGTTTTTTCTCTATTTTTCATTAATTTAATGTAGATTTGTTTCATGGACTGCTCAAGTTCACTAATAAAATGTAATAGGAAATCACTTAACACAATCCATTGGTTATCTTCGTTAGTTCAATTTTGAAGTTGTCTTTTTTTTTTTTTTAATTTTGTTTTTGATCTCATGCTAATAACATTTATTAGCTTTATAGGGATACAACAGGGGTAGTCTATCCCCCAAACCTTTACCCCCAACCCTGGGGCTAGAAAGAGTTGATGTCAAGTCTCCACTACAACTAGCAAGAAAACCTATCAATTAAGTTGCCTTCAGTTTATTTTCTTGCTAAATAGTTAATTTTTGTACTTCTTATCATATTTAAGCTATAGAAAAATGAATAAACTTGAAGCTCAATAAATAGACAATAAAAGAAAATTATTTTTTCTACCATTTTATATGTAAAGAACTATAAATATATAAAAACTTCAGTGAATCACTATTACTTCATTTTTCCATTAAAAATACATTGTTAAACAATGTCCTATGCATCACATGAGCCACCACCATAACTATATATAGAAAGCAAGGTTGTCCACATCACCATGCCTCTACTTGCTAAAATCCCCTTCTTAATTTTCCTTTTTTTTGAATATTTTTTCTTTTTTAATTCCATGTAATTTTTCATTACATCAATAAGGAAACAATATAAGCTAAATTATCTCTAACAACCAATAGATAAAGAAAAAGAGAKATTTTCTTTTATAATGCCTAGTCAAGTGGCACCACTATCCCCCACTTTCTCYTAAATTGTCTCTAATTCCTTTTTATTCTCTTCCATAATTTTTATCTATATCTACCTAAAGAAAGTTTGGATTAAAAAATATAAGAATTATTTAAATATTTTAACAAAATTATATAATAACTTTTAAAAGATTTATTAAAGACACAAATAACAATTACAATAGATTTAATAACATTCATATTATTAATAATTTTATATTTTTACATAAGTCATTAGGAAATTACGTACTAACAATATAAATTATAATTTTACAAGTTATTCAATTTAATTGTTATCCAAATAATAAAAATTTARCATAAAAACAAAATGTTATTTAAAAAATCAATAATAAATATCTCACATAATAAAATATTAAAAATGACCTCTTTTAATCCCAAAATTTACTCCTAGTTGAGGAATGACCACYATAATTTTATTAATATTGAAATAAAAAGCCTATGAGGGGTGGGAGGGTGACATAAAAAAATATTTAATATTACATAATAACTTTAAAATAAATAAAATTCAAATAATGATAACTTTTAAATATTTTACATATTACTTAAATAGTCAAATTACTAAATCTTTTAAGCACAAAAATATTTAAAATATACAACTAAAACTTAAATAGTTAAAATAACGAATTTATGTAATATATTTAACAATTTTCTTAAATGTAGAAAAATATTTTCATATTTTTTTCATAACTATGTATTTTTGTTATAATTTATTGATTAATATTTATTAAACTATTATTTTCAGTATTTATTATATTTTTAATTATTGTATTTATTATATTTTTATTAGTTATTTACTGTATTTTTATTGCAAATTTATTTTCAATAATTATATATTTTTGCTATAGATTTTCGTTAATTATTGGAAATTAAACTATTGTTATTTATTATAGATTAGACTATTAATTTAGCTGAAATTACGAGTTGTTCACGGGTTGGTTTGGTTTAGTTCAATTGTTGGGCTCTTCGGCCAACCAAATTGACATGGTCAACTTGGTAGTTGGTCACTCAAAACTGACTAACCATTAGTGAAAATCGACCAACTTGGGTTGTACTTGTTTGGGTCGATTTCTGATTTGCTCATTTGGTTCAAAAGATCTAAACTAAAAAACTAAACTTAAATTTAAAATATTACAGTGGTATTATTAAAAAATAAATTGATGATATAAATTATTTTAAATTTTGAAATATGTGAATTTTCTCACTTTTTGTATTAAAAAGTTACATTTAAAATATAAAAATATTAATATATATCTATGTTCGAGTCGGATTGATTTACAAGTGTCTAAATCGAAATTGACTCAACTTAATCAGGTTGGGAAATTGCTGAACCAAAATCAGTCGAAAATATAGGCCTAATTGGTCAATTTCACTAGTTTGATGAACAACTCTAATGGGAAGCTTGTGCATCACAAGGGTCCTTGTTGATTGAGATATATGTTGATTTAGATATAAAAAAACAATACAAATTTATTTGGAGCATTAAAAATTGACATTCTCACTAAAATTTAATAGGATAAGTTAAAAATAATATTTAAATTGCACTTAGATGAACACGATTTAATAAAAATGTTGTAGAGTTACTCCCTCAATTTTTTACAAGAAAGACACTTTAAAAGGAAAGACAAATAAGAAATAGAATTAAAATTCTGAATAAATCGATTTAAGGCTGTTTCGAGGAGTTCGGATATGCTGACCACACTCATCCAGCCGTGTGTTGAAAATCTCGGTGACCACAACCCATCCGATGTTCCATATCTGTGTCTGAGTGGACGTGGCCAACAATGTCTTGGATCCGGATTCCGGACTCGTTTTTTTCGATAATAAACTGTAAACGAAAAGGGGCTACACAAGACGGTGGTAGGCCGGGTAGCATGTCCCCACAAATCACCGGACTCGTTTCGACGTGGTTAATGTTGCGGGCGAATGCTTGGGAGTTGGGAGCGTATTTGAAACTTTTCATAGTCTAGTTAGGAAAGTAATACAACCCATGGTTCGGGGGATTTTGGTTGGAATAAAGATTTAAGTTGTTCTTTGAGTTGGTTTCTTCTTCGGTACTTGCTTCTTCTTCGACTAATGATCAGCATTTGCACAGAGAGGGGCTTGACAACGATCATCGAGCCGACGACCAACCTATTGATTCCACCCTCCGGCGAGCAAAAAGCTAAGSAGAGGAGCTTCACTGCAGTGACCTGCGTCCGGCGACCAAAGACCAAAGAGAGGGGCTTGACAGTAGCAGGTCGGCGTCGGCGACCAAAATCCAAAATCAGCGGCTTTATGGTTCGTCCCTTCCTGCGTGGGACTCCTTATCAAGCCCTTATCAAGCCCTTCTTTTATGGAGTGGTTGAAGGGATGGAAGCGTCAGTTCAAACCATGTTATGAGTTCCTTGATGGTGTTATCTACTTATCTTTTTACTCTTGGACGCAAAATCTAAATTTTCTTCAAATTCTATTTTTTCCTGGTTGTATAGTAATAGATTTCTTTGGAGTTTGGACTCTGGAGTGATCGGACTGTAATTGCTTTAGTGCCCAAAGCAATATCCAACAAAGGGCTTCGTTTGCGGCCTTTTCTCGACCCTCTCTCTCTCTCTCTCTCTCTCTCTCTCTCTCTCTCTCCGCACCCACACGCGCATACAAGATGGCACTTTTCAAACAACTCAAGAAACTGACTTTTTTCAGCCCCCATCCTCCCCCAATCTCTTATCTTCTCTTGATTCGTTTCTCCACTTTCTCATCAAATCAGCCATCCTGGCCTTCAAATCCCCAAACCTGCCGGAATCTTACTCCCCATGTTTCATCTCTACCTATCTCTTCTGACAACAATTTACAGCAGAAGATTGCACCTTCAGAGACGGGGTTGTATGCAACCCTGTTCTGCACTATAATAGAAGCTTACCTGGCCTGCACTAGATTCTCAGAGGCAATAGAAGCTTTCTTTTCCATGAGGAATCACGGGCTTACTCCGAATCTATATTCATGGAATCGGCTACTTTACAAATTTAATATTTCCGGGTTAGTTCCTCAGGTATGGACCGTTCACAGTGAGATGCTCTCTTGTCGGATAGTTCCGAATGTCTGTACTTATAATATTTTACTCCACTCTCTATGCAAAGTGGGTAGGTTGAGAATGGCTTTAAGTTTGCTTAGAACTGCCGAATCTGACACTGTTAGTTATAACACTATCATCTGGGGGTTCTGCAAAGAAGGATTCACAGAACAAGCACTTGGGCTTTTGTCAGAAATGATAAAGAAGGATGTTCTTATTGATTCTTTTACTTGCAATATTTTGGTTAAAGGGTTTTGCCAAATTGGGTTGTTTAGAGATGCAGAATCACTAATGGGTAAGTTGGTTAATGAGGGCATTAATCAAGATATTATAGGTTTGAACACATTGATTGATGGGTATTGTAAGGTTGGAGATATGAAAGCTGCTCTCAAGTTGAAGGAGAATATGAGGAGGGAGGGCTTCAGGCCTGACACTGTTACTTACAATACTCTGATTAGTGGATTTTATAGAATTAGGGAAATTGATGAAGCTGACAAACTTTTGGATGAGATGACTTTGGGTCTTAAAACAAATGCGAACAGTTTTGAAATTCATACAAGTCAGTGCCAAGATGAGAATGCAGTGGAAGATAATGTAACAGGATGTTCAGATTTGGAGCCAGACATTATAACACACACTATACTTATCAGTGGCAGTGAGTATTACAAGCAGCAAGTGCTTGAGGATCCACATTCTTTGTGTGAGGAGATGCTTAAGAGCGGTTGCTTACCTGATGTGGTCTTTTGTAGCTCCATTGTTAATGGCTTGTGCAAGAGTGGGAGGCTGACTGAAGGGAGGTTATTTCTCAGGGAGATGGAAAGGAGGGGTGCGGCTCCTAACCATTTCTCATACTCCAGTCTGATTGATTCCTTTGCTAAAACTGGGAATATCATTGATGCCCATATTCTTCAGGGAGAAATGGTGGTTCGAGGAATTGCATTTGATTTGGTGGTGTACAACAACTTGATTCATGGACTTTTCAAAGTTGGAAAAGTTGATGAGGCAGAGGACTTATTCTGTGCACTGCCTATGCTTCAAGTTGTTCCAAACTACATTACATATTCCATATTGATTAATGGGCGTTCCAAGGCAGGAGATATGATGGGTGCTGTATCAGTTGTACAAGTAATGGAAAGGAAACATCTACGTCCAAATGTCATTATTTACTCTTCTTTAATCAATGGGTACACCAAACAGGGGATGCTTGATGCGGCTGTTGATTATATGCAGAGGATGAAGGACCAAAATGTTTCTCCAAATGTTTTCATTTTTGGCACATTGATTGATGGCTACTTAAAGGCTGGTAAGCAAGAAGATGCCATTGCCCTGTATGATGAAATGGGGTGGAGAGGTTTAGAGGTTAACAAATTTATACTTGATGTTTTTGTAAACAACTATAAAAGAGGTGGAAGGATGCAAGAAGCAGAAGTGTTGTTTAAAGAATGGACGCAAAGTGGCTTGTCACCCGACCGTATTAATTACACTTCCCTAATAGATGGCTTCTTTAAAGTGGGAAAAGAATCTGATGCTTTTGAAACAGCTAAAGAAATGGCTCAGAATAAGATAGACTTTGATGTTGTAGTTTACAATGTTTTCATTAATGGCCTCTTAAAACTTGGAAAGTTTGATGAAGCACAATCTATGTATACTGGAATGAGAGAGATGGGCATGTTTCCTGATTGTGCTACATACAATATCATGATCAATGAATACTGCAAAGATGGGAACTTGGAGAATGCTTTGAAACTCTGGAATGAGATGAGAAGTTGTGGGTTATTCCCCAAATCATTAACTTGTAACACATTAGTAGGAGAGTTCTGCAAGGCTGGTAAGATGCATAAAGCAATTGATTTGTTGAATGAAATGGTGGTTGCTGGGTTTCACCCAAATTTAGTTACCCATAAAGTAGTACTTGACGCATGTTCCAAGATGAATGGAGACTCAATTTTTGAAATGCATGAAAAACTCATTGTTATGGGGTTTAAACCTGATCAGATGGTTTATAACACACTCATTGCTATCTTATGCAGGCGAGGGATGACAAGAAAGGCTAATCATGCACTGAAAGATATGATAAGAAGAGGTATTTCAGCAAATACTGTTACTTATAATGCTCTTATAAATGGCTATTGTAAAAGTAGCCATCTGAAGAAGGCAGCTGCTTTGTATTCCCAAATGTTGGCCGAGGGTATCTCTCCGAATGTTATCACTTACAACACACTTTTATCGGGGTTCTCAACTGCTGGTTTGATGCAAGAGGCTGATAAAATTTTTGATGAGATGAAAAAGAGAGGCGTGATTCCTGATGCTACTACTTATGATATTCTGATTACAGGATATGGAAATATGGGAAATAAGAAGAAAAGTATAAAGTTATACTATGACATGATATCAGAAGGCTTCATTCCTAGTACTGGTACTTTTAATGCACTCATTAGTGATTTTGTTAAGGTGGGGAAGATGGTACAAGTTAGAGAACTTATAAAAGAGATGCAGACTAAAGGAGTATCTCCTAATTCTTCAACTTATGACATTCTGATTAGTGGATGTTGCAAATTGTCTCATAATGCTAAGATTAAAAAGAGGCAGAGTGCATTATACCAAGCTGAGGCAAGAAGTCTGTTGGCAGAGATGATGGAAAAAGGATTTACTCCTTGTTCAAGTACTCTTTATTGTATTGCCAATGCTTTTGCGGTTCCAGGAAGAAAGGCAGACATTCAAATGTTATTGGACAAACTGTATGAGAGGAAGAAAGGAAAAACAATAAGTACAGTTTACAATGAAAAAAGGGATTTCAAATAGCTATAAAGCAAGTCAGGGATAATGCATTTCTAGGATTAATGATCTCAAGCACAAAAGAATGCTTATGTTATGACATACCCAGTTATTAAATAAAAGCAGAATCTGTAATGCTTGGCCAGGTAAATGAGTTTGTGGTTCAACACTGCCCTTTTTAGCTATAATGCTAATCATCAGGCACTTTTTTGTTGCTGGCTGATTTTCCTAGCAGAGAAATTTAATTCTGTTTTACGGAGTTACCAGAAGCAAGTTTGCATTGTATTGGGGTGTCAGTTTATGCATACATGCYTCTTGATTATGGTGCAACTATGGGTTTCTTCCCTGTGGATCATGTCACTGTGCAGTACTTGAAACTGAGAGGCAGGTGTAATGATACTGTAAGTGGTTAATTAAAATTATGTTCTTTGTATGTGATGGCACTTTTTATGTGTACTAAACCTTTTATAAACATTCAGGTTTCTATGATAGAGTCCTATCTGAGGGCTTTTAAGATGTTTGTGGATTATAGCCAGGTAAAATTTTGCAGCTTGTTCAATTTCCTATCTACATATTCTTATTAAGCATGCTATTAGGAAATGAGTTCTAATTGTAATCATGTTGGCTGAAACCAGCCCAAGACTGAGAGGGTTTACTCTTCTTATCTGGAATTGAATCTTGAGGATGTGGAACCCTGTGTATCAGGACCGAAGAGGTAAGAATTTCAAGATACTTTTACTGAGATATCCTATTCAATAAAATTTGTTTTTTATTTACCTTCAAAAATGTTCTATGTTAAGAGTATTTCCGTGTTCTCAACTATTTCTTCAGCCTTTTATTTTCTGGTGCAGCCTTTGAGCATTTTATTTGTAGCAGATCTCATTATCAAGTTCCGTTGAATGAAATGAAAGTAGACTGACATGCTTGCTTAGACAACAATGTTTAGTTCAAGGTAAGAAGTTTCAAGTTAAAAAAAATGAATACAAAAATTGACTGTTTTGATTCTGGAATAAGATTTGTCATCATGGTCATGGGATCAGAGGGTGTTGTATTAGGGTGGCAAGTATTGGCTCAGGCCTGGATTCTGGTTGCAATTTCCACACTGGGCCTATTTAAAAGTTGGTAGGATGCAACTTTGGTTTACCAATTAGTCATTTTTTTTGAAGATTAAATGAAAATTTATTGAATAAAAAAAGAATACAATCCAAATGGTGACAAGGTGTCACCATTGCTCACACAACAAACTAACTGTTAATAAGARCAGACAATAATCCAAATTACAACGAYTGAATTTCTAGAATATTCCAAAAGTTCCTCCCAATTTCAGATCTGCTGATTTGATGAAATTCTGGTAGCACCCAAACCCTATCCGCTACTAGCTTCCCAACCAGAGCAACTAGTGTTTCAGTGTTCTTTGATCCGTCTTAAAAAAGTCATCTATTTCTTTCATTCCAAAGAATCCAGCACACTGTAAAGTGTGTTGTAGGCAGTTGGATCTGAACCGACCCAGGTGACAGTTTATAGTGTTTAAGACCCACAGGAGGTTTACCAATTAGTCATTTACACTTATGTTAGTAAGTTTTTGATGTATGCCTTCTAGTAATGTCAGTTTGGATACCATTAATGTATATTTGTCCGTGAATGCATTATTTAATCTAATTGATTACCCAAGTGACATTTTAGCTTTGAGTTTTAGCTTTTTGCTGATATGCAATTTCTTTTTTGGCCAACTACTTCTGAAGAAGTCTATTGAGTTCTTTTTTCTTTTTCTTTATCTTTTTGAGAAAAAGTAAAGTATATTGTGTTGATCATATAAGATGGGAAACCCCAAGACATTGTGGCTGTACATGGGGAGAGAAATCCCCAATATATACAAAGTATAAGTATAAATGTATAATTACAGGGTCTCAGTTGATATCTTAGAAGCCATTGCCCAAGAGAAAAATCTTTGCTGTCATGTTGTGTATAACTTCATCTATTTGAGAGGATTTTCCTTAAAAAATTCTAGTGTTCTCTCAGACCAAAGACCAAAAAACAGCCGCAGAAACCTTTTAGCAAAACAACAAAAAGAAATTCAACCCTAGTCCTTAAGTCTTTTCCCAAACAATTTATACATTGTGGCCCAGAAAAGGAGGTGTACATATGCGCCCTGTTTTGTAAGATGGTCTGCCATGTTGTTTGCTGATCAATGAACTCATTATATCTTCAATTGCATGCCCCTTATGAACCATACAATTTTTTTTTTTTTWAWTTYMWTTYYWAAMYYCCMMMWTTTTTTTTTTTGAATTCATCAGCGAATTTATCAGTCCTAGAGTCTCCTTAATAGCAAGTTTTGCAACCCCCAATTCTTTGGAGTTTTGTACCCCATACACTACAGAGATCAGTTGTGTTCTCATGGAGTCTCCAACCCCAGTCAGTCTTCAGAACAATGCACAAATCTTTCCTTTTTCATTCCTAAGAACCCCTCCTATACCTGAAAGTCCTGGATTACCATCAATATTTAACTTAATAAAACCTGGCTCCAGTTGAGACCGACTCCTCACTGTTTTTTGCTTCCTACATGAAGATCCTGCCACTGCAATCCAGTTTCTCATTAAATCATCAACCGTGAGGTTTACAAAAGCCTCCAACTTTTTACCCAATGTGCTAGTCTCACCATTATACTTTCAATTACAGCTACCTTCTTTTTCCTCTCCTAAAAAATGTGGTTTTTTGTTCTTCCCATACTGTTCAAATCAGAGCTACTCTTTTGTATTAGCTTTTAAAGGAATGCTTTGGTGGCTTAAGATGGAATTTAGTGTGGCATATATGGTGAGTTTGTATGTTTTGAGTGGTGGTTTGTGAAGGTGAAGTTTTGGGTGTTTAGGAGGTCTATCTTGTGAAGGTGGGTGGAAATTTAGGTTGTGGGATTTTGTTGTGCTGTTGTGTCTGGGTATATTTGCTGTGTTCTGTCTTTTTTTACCCAGTGTTTCTTTTGTTGTGCGGGCTTTGTTTCCTTTGAGGAGTGGAGGGTGGAGTAATTGTTTGGATGTAGGGATTTCTTTTTTTTTTTCTCTTGGATGATTGCTAGTCACCTTTCTTGTAATTTTCTTTTTTTTTTCTTTTAATAATTATTACTTTTCCATCAAAATATATATATTTTTATTTTACTATCAGTTGAGCATTTATCTAATAGGAACCATGACAAATCTTCAATTTGATACCATTTATCTTGTCTGGTTATCTCATGATTCCTTTTTTGTTAATGTTTTTTGTTTTTTTTTTTTTTTTTGAATAAACAAGATGAAAAGGAGGGAGGCAGTGAACAAGAATAATTAAAAAAAGAGATTAAGGAAGAGGAGAATGGTAAACAAGAAGGTGATGGGCTTGTAGTCTCTAGGTTTATCTTTATTGCTAAAGATAAAATACCATATTATAACAACTGGGAAAGGTGACTCTGTATTTGCTACAAGCAAGTGATGTACAAAGAACAATGGGGGTTCAAAATCCAATTACAAGTAGGGATGTCTGTGGGTTGGGTTAAGTGGTAGATCCACACTGAACTGACCTGTTTGGAATGAGGTGGGTTCATGCTAAATCCAACCTGTTGGCATTGCAGCACTGAAATCTAATGACCATCTATACTACTATTAAAAGTGTGAATAAGAGTTGAATTTTTGTTTGACTAAAATACCTCACTCTTTGAATTTGGTTGCTCTCTAATTGTAAGGACAAAAATGTAATTTGAACAACCACTTTTCTCCTCATTCAAATCCCTCTCATTAAGTCTTATATTTAAGGTATTAACTACCATTAACATTTATTGAATTCTATTCTTGATTAGAATACCCATATTTTTTGAATTTTATCCCTCTATAATTGTGAGGGCACAAATTGTAATTTGAACTACTACTACATTTCTTCTCATTCAATTCCCTCTCATTAAGTCTTAGGTATTAACTCTCATTCTTTTATTGAATCCTATATTAATTAACCATATTAAAGGAAAACAAGTGTGATAAAGAATAATTGTTTTCATTGAGGATAAAAATAAAATACGAATTTAAAACCAACACAAAACAGAGTTGTTTTCCTATTTGGTGGTGAGTCAACAATTCAACCGTTTTTGGGCCAAAAAATGTGTAATTAAAAAAGATGAAAACATACAAAAGTATACAAAATATAACAAAAATTGTAGAAAACATTTGGGCACTTTCTAATATTCTATATTCATCATGGTTCCAACTACCAGGGTCTTGTGTGGGGTGGCCTGGAGAGCGATCTAACCCTTTTCTGCATAAAGTAGTTATTCTGTAAGTTCTGATTTGATGTGTCATGGATCCCTTGTTCTGATTGGTTATGCTAGTCTACCTTCTAGTTGGATCTAGGACAAATATACAGAATACAAGAATGAAGAAGAGAAATAAAACAAATTGTGTTGTTAGGCTGATAACAATGTCTATTTTATAGCTTATTAGAAAAAGCAAATAACAAGTTCTGGAGATGGAGAGATTTGTGGCCGCTGGAAGATGGAGGAAAACTTTGAAGATAGAAGCAAAGGATCTGATCTTTGAGGAAATTAGGATCAAAGGTTTGCTGAGTCTGAAGATCAGGGAGGCCTAGAAAGCAATGGTTCTGCTGGAAGGCTTTGAAATGATTGAATGGTTGCAGGACTTTGTTACGGGAACAAGGTCTAAAGGAAAGAGAGAAAACTATAAGGAATTTAACTTGGAAGCAAGGAAGAGGTATGTGCTAGAGTGCAAAAAGAATGCCAAAGGTTCCTACATAACATTATGGGAACACTTCGATAAAAAAAAAGAAAAAGCTAGTTTGCTTCCTTGAAGGAAAAAAGGGTCAAAGTTGGAAGGAAGTTGTAGGGGTGCTGAGAGATTGTATGCTTTGGTTGAAATCTAAAAAAGCAAAGTTAATGATAAGGGCTAGAGAGCTGGGGAGAAAATCTGGAGTAGAGGATATCTCTGAGCAGAGTTTGGTAATTGTTGGAAAGGGAAGAAGAAACTGTAAGTTAGTATCCTCAGCTGGAAAGGAGGAGTGGGGAAGGAAGTATGTGGTTGAAACGTCAATCCCACCAAAAGACTGGAGAAGAATAGCACAAGTGATTCTGAGAGAGTTAAGTTTGATGAACTCGATTGTTATCACACCCTCCGACATATGCAAGGCATTGCTCGATTTCGGTGATGCTGAAGTAGAAATCATGGCAAAAATTTTCAGTCAGAGGTAGGTGCATTCATTGTTTCAAAATGGTGTCCACTTTCAAATACAAAAAATATTGATATCGAGGATAATGTAACTGTCCGGTTGCTTGGTCTTCCATTCAACCTTTGGAAGCTAGAAACGGTGCAGTCCATAGCTTCCATATGTGAGGCCAGATTAGATGGAGTTTTTGACTATGATCTTCACTCAACTGTGATGAAGTTTATTGGAGTAAAACCTTGTCACATTCCGAGAGGGATAGATTTACTGGTTGATGGACTCTYATACCCTGTTTGGCTGAAAATCTCCATTGAAGCTCAGTTGTGGAAGGAAGGTCGCAGGGTAGAAGACGAGGAAACAGAGTAGGTCTCCTTGAGAGGACTTGAAGACAGAGACTTTAGCATGAAATTGTCCTAGTCAAAAGTGGCAACGAAAAAGAAAAGAAGCAAGAGGATGATTTTAGCACCTGGGGAAACAATGTTGGGCAGAGAAGACAGATGTGAGGAAATTCCTATGCCCAGGTGGTGATAGGATAAGTTAATATAAGGCATGTGTAGGAAGTTCAAAAGGTTACATGAATGGAGCAAGGACTGAGAGAAAACAAGGGTTTGGACCGGACACTGGTTTTGAGTCGGGTGGATCTTCTGAACCGCGGTCAATCACACGACTCTTTAAGTAGTCATGTGGCGGGGGAGGAACTTTAAAAGCTGCCCAATTGAAACAAGTGGGCCGTTCAATAGAACTAGTGGACCTCATACTTCA